TGCATGTTGGGTTGCTCTCCTTGGTAACTTGCCTGGACAAACATGTATGGAAACGAGTGAATTTTAGTTTGGTGTCAAGTCCCCATGGAGACATGCATGGGACACATGTTGGCACAAATGTGTATGTCACTTCTTTACTTGCAGGTAAGAGGTGCAGATAAGAGAGGCTGAGAGGGCTGGGGTGGTTCAGCCTGGAGAAGAGAGGGCTCCGAGGAGACCTGGAGCCCCTTCCAGCGCCTAAAGGGCTCCAAGAGAGCTGGAGAGGGACTTTAGACAAGGGCCTGGAGGGACAGGACAAGGGGGAATGGCTTCACAGTGACAGAGGGCGGGGTTAGGTTGGATATTGGGAAGAAATTCTTGGCTGTGAGGGTGGTGAGGCCCTGGCACAGGTTGCCCAGAGAAGCTGTGGCTACTCCATCCCTGGAATTGTTCAAGGCCATGTTGGATGGAGCTCTGAGCAACCTGGTCTAGTGGAAGGTGTCCCTGCCATGTTGGAACTGGATGGTCTTTAAGGCCCCTTCCAACCCAAACCGTTCTGTGATTCTGTGAAGTGTTTCTGTGATAGAGGTTCTGTTACCTTTGGGGCTGTAGATATTCTTTTACTTTACTTTAGTCTTTCCTGTAAAGAATTTCTTACAACTCTGTTGCCCTGCTAATGGTCTTTGTAACTACTCACCAGATGTAAATCTTTTTATGTAAGGGAAAAGCAAAATGGGGGAATGACACAGGAAAAAAAACCCCTCACATTCATTGAAGATTTTTAGATGCAGAGTTACAGATCTGCAGGTGCTGTGCTATCCCAGTGCTCAGAACACTTGAGCTAATGCCATCTGGAGGAAGTTATTTGTTGGGGCAGGACAGTGTTTTAAACTTTGAAGTGAAGAATAAACAAAGTGAAGCAGCTGGAATCTGGCAGAAGAAGAAACGAGCCATTCCTATCAGCCCGTGCTATTAAAGGAATGAGAGCACTGGGGTTGTTTTTGCATATGCTTGGAAGTTTATTCTTGCTCTAGAACTGAGCTGCTTTGGTTGTTGTGTTGGGGAGTAGAGGGAGGATTGTTTTGCAATTTTAGGAAGTAATATGTAGGTAATTACAGTAATTATAGTTCTGGTTTTCTACTGACACAATAACCTGGGTCCTGATTCCTCAAACCCCTCCCTGTTTATTGTCTTGATGGAGAGAGACTATTTACAAGAGCATGGAGTGACAGGACAAGGGGGAATGGCTTCAAAATGAAAAAGAGTAAGTTTAGATTGGATATTAGGAAAAAATTCTTCCCTGTGAGGGTGGTGAGGCCCTGGCACAGGTTGCCCAGAGAAGCTGTGGATGCCCCTTCCCTGGAAATATTCAAGGCCAGGTTGGATGGAGCAACCTGGTCTAGTGGAAGGTGTTCCTGCCCACGGCAGGGCGTTGGAATGAGGTGGTCTTGAAGGTCCCTTCCAACCCAAGCCATTCTGTGATTCTGTCATAACACTTTTCACTTACAAGATGTGGGTCTGTTTCATCTCCAGAGAGATTTAAATTGGGAGTTTTATTTAATATATGGAGTCGAAGGAGTTAAAGCACATGGTTCTCATTTGGCTTAAAAGTCAGACTTGTTTAGTCTTTTTATTTTGCCAAATAGAAAAAATTTAAAAGAAAGATTTAAACATTTTTCTTTGTTCTTATTGTTGCCATATGGTATTGGGAACCAAACCTCCCTTCAGTGGGGTTAATTCCTTTTTCATTTGGCATCCATTCACCACACACTCATCTATAGCTGATTCTCTGTGTGACGGTGCCTTGTAGAGAAAAACTCCCTTCACAGGTCACTGGATGGTTGACACACCATTAATTTTTATGCTTCTGTTAAACAAAGGTCTGGAAATTTAGTACTGTACATGAATTTGTTATAGATTGCCAAGAACAGGAAAAAATCTCTAATCTGAAATCTGACCTTTTCCATCAGTGGGTCACCAAGATGTTTTCAGTCACTCGTGAGTTTTTACCAGTCAAGGACTCTCACACTCTCACTGAGTGTCAGTTTTCACAGTTTATATGAATTTATCCTGTTAGCTGGTGACAAAGACTTTGGAAAACTGGAGGTCACCTGAGGTCATGCGCTCCATTTATTGGATTTTAACGAGCTAAATTTTTATAAATACACCTTAACTACATGATTAGAAAATTGTACTGAGCTCTCCCAGAGTCTCTAAAGAAGGGGGAAGAAAAAGTCATGAAGACTACCTGCCTTCCTACCCTGCTTTTTAAAGGGAAGAATTTTCCATTCCATTTTTATGGCTTATCACGAGATTATAACCACTGCAATTTGCATATTTGTGCTGGTGAAGAACTCGGTGTTTAAGAGGAAACCAACTTAATGTTGGTTGTGAGCTGCTCTCTGAGGGGGGGAAGATATAAAACGGAATATCACCTTCTTAAAGAAAGAGCAGGCCAGGGGCTGTACAAACACTGTCACTGGGGTACAGCAACAGGCATAAATATTTGTGTATTTATTCACATACCCACCCTACATGTACATATGATGTGTTATATGCACTGTGCCTGCACGTGGCTACATTCAACAAAGGGTAATAATGATAAAGCACATGCGAGAGTAACTTAGTAACTGCATTTTTTGGGCCAATGCAGAGTTTCAGGAGGAGCAGGTTTCCATCCTGGGAAGCTGCAGTCATGGAGCAGAATCTCCCGTGTAGCTGAAATAGGATATCCAGAGGTTTTTTCGCAGTTAAAATGCTGAAAATCCACATTCTGTATTTTCTGTGTGCATCTAGCAGAGTCCAAGTCTTCAGATTTCTGTCTTTTAAAAAGGGAAATGCTGACTTTGGGTATTTTTAAGGTTATTTAGATAACTCAGGGCCTGGTAACTTTTCTGTTGAACACGTAGAGGGAATTATTCTTTTAAGTTTTTTGTGTTTTAGCGTTTTATATCTATCGTAAAATTGGACTATAGTCTGTCTGTAAAACATATTAGAGTACGTGTTAGGAAGAATGCAGACTAATATGATACTTTCTTTTAGCACTCCCAGAATCAAAGACTTGAGAAATTACTACAGAGCCCTGGGATAAGGGAATATTCTTTTCTTTTTTCCTTCCATTTTTTCTTTTTTTTTTTTTCTTTTTTTTTTAACAAACCTGAAAACAGCTGTTGAAACAATGACATCATGGAATGTGACACGACTGTGGAAATTATTAACAAAGTCAAGCTTTGAAAGCTTCAAGCTCCATACAGAGCTGGAGAGTTGCTTTAGTGAGTGGGATGATTTATAGGGTTTCCTTGGGCACTGCACAGTCACGTCCTTACCGTGTGTCAGCTCCACGTCTGACCAAATAAACCCTCTGCTTTCCTTCAGTTCCCTTTCTCAAAAACCTTCTTGTGTCACTCAAACATGGCCACAGAATCAAATCGTGAAATCACAGAATGGTTTGGGTTGGAAGGGTCTTCAAAGACCATCCAGTTCCAACCCCCCTGCCATGGGGAGGGACACCTTCCAGCCTGGCCTTGAACACTTCCAGAGATGGGGCATCCACAGCTTCTCTGGGCAACCTGTGCCAGGGCCTCACCACCCTCAAGGCCAAGAATTTTTTCCCAACATCTAAACCCGCCCTCCTTCAGCTTAAGGCCATTTCCCCTTGTCCCATCACTCCATGCCCTTGTGAAAAGTTCCTCTCCAGCTCTCTTGGAGCCCCTGTAGGTACTGGAAGGCTGCTCTAAGGTCTCCTCAAAGCCTTCTCTTCTCTTCTCTTCTCTTCTCTTCTCTTCTCTTCTCTTCTCT